AGCTTTTGCTCCAAGACACTTGTTTTCTACTATACTTTCCATCTTGGCTATTATTAATTTTTTTCTAATAGTCAGGTGATAAAATAAACCAATGCCACATAATCATAGTAGCGTAGCCCTTTGGCAGGCAAAAGTCCCCACTGACTTCTGATTTAGCCCACTGCATACAGATAGTGGAGAGGTAGCCAGTGCCACCGTGCAGACGCAGGGGGTCTCTGCTGTATATACCAGTGTCTGTACTGCTGAGTAATGAAGATGATCCAGAGAAAACTGGGTTCTGTGCCTGCTGCTGCACCGTTCCAGGTGGACAGTGTGCCACGCAGCGACAGCTGTGAAATATGTAAATGGACATATCCATCTTACAGTGTCACTCAGTGCTGCAGTATTTCACTATGAATAATTTCTGTTCTTTCATTTGGCTGCACACTTGACCTGGCTGAACCTTGTTCTGTGAAGAAAGCTACATGTTGTGGCAGTTCTAGGTTGGGAGGAATTGTGAAACAGTGGGAGGCCCTGTGCGCTCATTTGTGTGTCAGAATCCACAGTGCTCCTGCCACCTTAGAGCGAGCTACTTCATAAAAATGTTGAGGCCTGAGCCCTGGAAACACTGCAGTGCAGGTGTACGTGCATACACACACAAGAATTCTCCCTTAACCTCTTAGTCTGACCATACTCAGTTGTGCTAAAACTGTAGGGATCTGAAATAGGAGGAGGAAATGTTGAAGTATGCTCAGACTGCATGCAGATCAATGACCCACAGAACCGTGTCCTAGGAGAGGGGACAGGACCCCATACTAGAAAGCAGATACTGCCCCACCATGTGAGGGTACAAGCAAAGCAACAAAGGAGAAAGAGAGAGGGCATGTCTACACGTGTTTTTACAGGCACCTAAACTTAATGCGCATTAAGGCGATTTAGGCATGTGTCTACACATGCATGTGCTAAGGTGCATTAATGTGGTGTGTGGACCAACTTGGGACTAAAGTTAGTTCCAAGTCACTTGACACAGCGCATCTACACGTGTTAAGGTGCTTTAGCTATTTGTGCCTAAATTTGATACCTGCATTTACAGGTATCAAATTTAGGCACAAATAGCATAAAATCACCATTTTAAAGGCACATTAAGGGTGCACACATGTAGACGCACACCCTTAACACGCCTTAAAAATGGCTAACGTGTCTTAAATCGGCATGTGTTGATGCGCCCAGAGAGAAGACAGGCCTTGCCTATCCTGGCAAAGGACAATCATAATGCTCCAGCTGTGGGGGCCTACCAAAGCAAGCCATGGGAAATTTGGTGCCATTTTTCCAGTCCAGAAATACTTTAATTATTTATGTTTTAAATCATAGGAAAGTACCTAGAACTCAAAGGCTGTGCTTTGAGATGCTCTATTCCAGACAGAGTGAATGGGTTGAAAGGGCAAGAAAACAGAAAAAGAAAGAGGAGAGCGGGGCCTACACATAAAAACAATGCCTGCAGAAGACAACCAAGAACTAATTGGAAAGAAAGAGAAGCAAGGCTGAGAACTGGGAGAGCAGGTGAGAAAAGATGCAGGAGGACTAGATCAAAGATTACAGAGATAAAAAAGGGAATAAAACTAAAAGCAAAAAGAAGTAAGAATAGCCAAGACTTCTTAAGAGTCCCTCCACACCTGCTCCACTGGTCTGCAGAACATAGAGCTCCCTCCACTCTGGCTTTAACTGTCCACTACATGGAGCTGGCACCTACAGCGCAGAGCTAAACTAGAATCACTTTGGGAAGTAGCAACACCACAAACAACACACAACAGCACCCGCAAAAGACCTGAATATTGAGGACTTCCCTGCAATATACAGTGGGATGCAAATATACCAAAAAATATATACTTTGTAGCAGTACAGTGAAAGCACCCCCACATACAACAGAAATCTTGCTGACAAATGCAAAATATTGCTGATACAACTGCATCTACAAGAGAGGCACCTGCAGGTACAGTTGTGGTGGTCAGGGATCACACCTCTTCACACTCCTAAGTGATGCAGCTATGCCAGCTAGAGTGTATACCTGGCAACATAAACTACACACAGTCCTAACAACAAAACAGAACAGCACAACACCCAGCCACCCCCGCACAAACAAATGTGTACACAAGAACATATATATGAACAAACAGACACATAATGAAACTGAGACAAAGTAATAGCAACAAAATTGAAGACACGGTGCAAAGAGCATAAATAACATGGGCACACAAACATACACATGCACTTTTATATCAGAACTCATGTAACAATGACAAAAGGGCACAGATTTGCACCTTCACCCTACAAGTGCCACCACACACAGCCAACGCAGAAACAATGACAAGCAAAAACACCCAGAACTAGACACAGGGTCATCCTTTCATTTTCTCAATGGGCAATGTAAAATTTACTACATTAGTTGCCTCTGGCTGCAGTCTAGCAGCCCTAGAGCCAGACTGAATCTCTCCATAATTATCTGCAAATGCTGCTACACCACAAATGACCTTAGCATATGACATCCAGTTGGCTACATCTGATGGAAAAAGGTTGGGAAAAAAAGGAAGCATAAATGAGCAAAGGCAATTCCAAAATTGCACTTGTAGTGACAGGTAAATGGATTGTTGACAAGGCCTCTTAATGATTATACTGTATTTTATATGGGAGCCCTGAAGCCAACTCAAAAGCCTTGAAATTTAGCCCAGTTTTGCACAGGAACTAAAATAAATCATTTCCCCTGTAGGACTTAATCATCAAAAGACCCATGTGACACTTTGGTCTCTTCCCCTCCCCCTCCACTCCCAATAACCCGCAAAACCACCAACTGCCCTCCAAGACCCTGAAAATCCCAGATAGTAATTAACCTGTTTTACTAATATTTTCCAAAAGAGCCACCAATTTTGGTTTTTATGCTGCCGCTTTCAGGCACCCAGCTTGAGCCATCTTGAACCTGCCCTGTCGAGGAGCTGTGCACTTTCAGTTCTTGCTGACTTTGGCACCAAGGGTGCTCAGTACATTCTGGGAAAATAAAGCCCATTTGGGGAGGGGATCTGAAGATGAATACCCAAAAAAGTCAAAAGCTTCCCAAATTCAGAAGCCAGTTCTGGAAAATGGCTCTACCACAGCCCTATTTATAGGTGCTGGATGCTACTAAAACCAGGAAATAGCATCATAAAAAAACCCTGTAAGATAAAACAAATGCATAACCCTCGCAATATTCAAAGGGAACTGAACTGGAAATGCGGTGCAGGGGGATCAACAAATATGGCACCGATTCAATAATATCAGAACACCCCTTTCAGAGTGTGTAAGAAAAAAATGTCTTGCTCTCGTTTCCCAAGGAGGAAGAAGTGCTCTGAAAGGGATGCATTATTACAGCAAGCAAATTCCACCACCTCTTGGCCCCTTCCCTCCCCACACACATGTACAGACATCACCATGCCATCTTAGCACATGATTAACGGAGGACAGGCAAGCCATTAAAAACACATCCACCTCCAACTATGGAGATAACGTGGCTCATTATAGTTTAGCCCTGCCACAATGGCTCTGACACTCTAGCTGTGGGAAAAAGGGGGGAGACAACTATGGAAATTGGGACTAGAAAGAGGGTGAGTCTATCCATGGTTTAAAAATAAGTTAGAGGCAATAAAATCAAGGAATTGGGCCTCCCTAGGCTAGGTTACTATAGCTAATATACAGGTATCTAAAAAAAACCTAGGTATTTTTAAAGAAAAAAAAATGTGTGTTTAAATGAACCTCTAGAAAGTTAATGAGTGTAAACCCATGACCAGCAAAATCACTGTTGCTTCCTGAGAATGGAGAGCTCACTCCTAGCTCCGGCCATCCTGGCATCTCTAACTCCAGCAAGAAAAGCTTTCAAAGATCCCTTCAGTTTTACTTGAAAGGGTATTGGGTAGAAGGAGTTAAAAACAAAAGCCAAGACAAGTCGAGGGGGGCTGTTTGTTTGTTAAAAAAAAAAAAGAGAGCAGGGCGTCTTAGTCATCCCACAGCCAATTACACCATTGCCAGCCAGACATCCTGGTGTCTGTGAGCTAGTTCTCAGGGCCCTTGTAGCATTGCTGCCCATTGATCAGGACTGGTGCCAGGTGCCAAGGCAGCCTTCCACCCACACGCTGGGGATGCTGAGATGTACAGGCTGCTCAGCCTGAAAAAAGCCACTGGGAATAAAAAAAAAAAAAGTGCTCTAGCTGTGTGGATGGGCAGACTCAACCCGGATGGCATACCTTGGAGGCTGCTGCAGCTGACTCGAGACAGATCAATTCACTGACTGTCTACATAATCCAATACACAAAAGCCAGGCTGGTGGCAGGAGCCAGGCACCACCGTGCCAGAGTCTTATCCATTCACATACCAGGCACTACTAGTATACTCATTTATCATCAGGGTTTTTCTATGCAACGTTATAAGCAGCTACTTTTAGTCCAAATACATGCAGAGATAATTTAGCCCCTGTTCCCAGAGCTATTCGATTAAGAGAGTTTTATGTATTTGTCCACAAGTCTGTTCCTCTTCCTTCATGTGCATCTTCCTTGCCCTAACCCCCCCACTTCCAGCCTCTGATGCCCATGTCCTTCCACCACTTTCATTCCCTGTTAAAGTCAGGAGGAGGGGGTAAGAGTTTGCAGGGACCACAGGATCGGCCCCTAAATCATAGACAAAAATTAATCTGTTTTTAAATTAAAGCCTCTAACAAGAAAACCAATTTCAGCTTGCAGCTAAAAAAAAAAAAAAAAAAAAAAGGTGTTCTCTTTAAATGCTCTCCCCCCCCACCTTAACACACAGCTTGATTTTCCAGCGTGACAGACTGCTGCATGGCTTTAACAGCAGCTCCGGTGCCCTAGACCTTTCCATCTCAGTGCAAGTCTGAAATCGCAGTCTGGCTCCCCCTGGCCCCCCTCATCTCTCGGTCTCAAAATAAAAAACAGGGGGGAAAACCCCCAAACAACCCCCCCCCACACACACACACACACACTTACCCTGGGTGCTTTTCTCTTATATTTGTTGTTGTAGTCAAATTTCTCTTTCATTTCATCCAAGAGCTGGCCCAGTCTAACTTTCTCCTCTTTCCCAGTGTAATCCTGGCTGAGGAGGATATAGGACCTCCAGTTGGCCGAGTCAAAGCCCCAGTGGCAAGTCCTGTTCTCCAGGGACTTGTGAGAGTGGACCACAAATTTGTGCGGCGGGTACATGAGCCTGCAGTCCAAGCACTGGATGCAGGCTGCGCTGGGGTTGCTGTAAAGCTCCGGCACCAGGAGTCCCTTGCACTTCCCGAAGCACTCGTGGTACACCTTGAAGCTCTTGTCCGTGTACTCCAGCTCGATGGTGCTGGAGAACTCCTTCTTGCAGTGCGGCGGGTAGGTGCCCCCGTAGAGCAGGGCATTGCACAGCCGCTCCGCGTCGGTTTTGGTGATGAGCCCGCAGGAGGGGGCAGAGAAGGGCAGGATGCCCATGACTTTGAGGATCTCCAGCTGGTCAGCCGTGCACCTGGAGCAGTAAATGTGCAGCTCGTCACACACCGAGTTGATCTGCTGCAGGGAAAAGTCCCTGAGCACCGAGTTCAGGATCTGGGGCAAGCAAAGCCGCTTCTCTCCCCCCACCACGAAGCAGGAGATGGTTTCCCCTTCCAGGATGGTCTCGCACCTCTCCGTGGACCTGTCCGAGGGCATGAAGAAGGGGCCCGGCATCACCGGGGGCGGCTGGATGGGGGGCAGATGCAGGACGGGCTCCGCCGGGTCCTTGCCATTGTCCTTCTTGTACATCTCCTGGGCCCATCGTGCCGAGAAAGCAGCAGGGCCACCCAGGGAGCTCATAGAGCTCAGATGAAACTGTTCCAAGGTTTTCTGCAGTCCTGGATGAGGCTGGAAGCTGCTTCTACTTACAGTCTCCATTTTTAGTTTCTATTCCCAAAACAACACAAAACAACACAAAAAAGCCCCGCTGATCTTCCACCCTGGTAGCAATCCACTGAACGGATTCAAGGGGAAAAAACCCCAAAACAAGCCAACCCCCGCTTCTCTCTCTCCTTCCCCGCCCTGCTCCGGCAATCCACTCGCGAGCGCCTGCGGCTCTCCTCTCGGCTCCGGCCCGCTCACAGCCCCCGCGGCCCCCGGGCTGCGCCGGCGGAGCGCACAGTGCGGCCGGCAGAGGTCTTCATCCAGCCCGCCGCCCGCGCCCGCCTCAGATCCGCCCCGGCGGCGGCTGCTCTGCAGCGCGCTCCCTCCTGTCCATGTCCGCCCCGGGGAGGGGAAGCCGCGAGGAGGAAAGCGCGGTCCGTAGAGGGGGAGGGAGGGGGGGAATAAAAGGAAAAGGCCCGAATTTCTTGCCCGTCGGGAAGGCGGCGGGGCCGCGGCGAGCTCCCGGGCGGGGCGTGGAGGCGCTCCGGGTCTGTGGTGCGCGGGGAGCTGCAGCAGCAGC